CACAGAACCACTTAATCAGCCCCTTCCCTCGCAGCTCAAGTATTAATAAAAATAATGACGTCTTAATTCACCTCTGAGAGGCACAAGGAAGCTCAGTTAGAATAAAATAAGTCATCAAATCTCAAACAACCTCGTTCAAAAATCCCTGACTGCGATAATTCCCAGGTGACGCTTTGCTGAACCCGAAATAGAGAGCAGCACACAACCCCCTGCTCACAGAAGCCTGGTCACACAAGAAGTGAAAAAAAAAAAAAAAAACATTTTTTTTAAAGAGTATCGAAGGGACAATAATTAAACCTTGCTCCTCTGAGATAAAGAATTAGGTCTGTGAGTGATCAGACATGCTTCAGAGCTGAGAGTCAGGCCATTGATTCTTGCAGACACGATTCAAAGGTAAAAAGAAAAATTTCAAAAATGAAAGGGTACGGAGGGGCGGCTCTCTGAGCTATATTTGAAACCCTTCTGTCCCCTGCTCCTTTCTGTGACAGCCTCATCACATATCAGACAAACACAGTCATCTTTCTTTTTTGATATAGCTCTCCTTTGCAGAGGATAAATTTGTAATATTTCAATTTCATAGCCGCCATGTCGTTTCTATATCATTCATTCTTGAAAGAGTTTGACAGGGACGGTGTCTTTAAAGACCTTAGGCTGGCACGAACACAGGTGTGAAATGATAGAGTATAGTTCTCAGACAATCAGTTTATAGTTGGTATTCACATGAGTTTGCATACCGGTTTGCTAGCATGTTGGTTGAAGCCCAGGGTCTCCTGTGCCCTGCACAATTGCTCTACCATGAGCTATACTCCCAGACCCGTAAAACAAATGCATTGTTGATTCCTGCCTAGTTCCTTCCTAACTTAATTATCACTGCTATGTCGTTGCCTTTTAAAGAATCTTTCGTTTTTACTAAGGAATCTTTTTACACATACTTTCTGAAAACACTGTTTATTAGCACCCCCTGAAGAGGAAATCTGGGTCTCTCTTTTCATTTCAGCCTTAAATTAAGATTCTGAAAACATTTAAGTCTTTTACTCTGCTCAGTTGTCTGAGCGAATGGGAACTGCACCCTCACCGTCAGGTACGTGTGTACCTGTCTTTGCTCCCCAGACACTGACACAGAGACCACATTATATTTTGATTTTTCTTGCAGATCTAACCCTGGGAAACCAACTGGGTGACTTTCGTTATCCTCTGCATGGAATCCCTTAGCCTGGGTTGACTGGGTCACAGTCACTCTCCTTGAGGACAGAAAAGGGGCTGACACTCTTCATTGTCCTAGTGAAACCAAACCAAATCGCTTTAGAATGTGCTAGTCCGGTCCAGAGCTGCATTGGCCAGCCTAGCATCTAGCAAGACTCTTGACATCTTCCAGGCAGGCTGCATCCTCTCCCGTCGGCATAGACTGCTGGCTCGAAGAACCGCAAGAGGAAGTGTAGCACTGTCACCAAGGTCCCTTGGGGACTCGAGAGGATGACCAGGGTTACACTCAAGACAACAGTACACCCCAGGCCCCCACCCGCCCTGGCCATTTTCACCCAAGGAGCCTTTGTCAAACATTTAAAATCTTAATCAATCTTCGCTCTGACCTCTCAGACCTCAAGGAAGATGGATGGGGAAGTGGGTGACCTTTCACCTGTCCTCCTATTTGTCCTGCTGCAGCGGACTCATTGAAAAGACAATGAGGAGGACCCTGCTGCTACAGCGGTGAAGAGCTGCCTTGGTCTCCTTTATGCTTCTCCTTAAGCTCTCTTTACATTCCCCTTCTTGTTCCACCCCCGAATCACAGGTCTTTCATTCAGAGAAAAGTTCTTTGCTATAGAGATGGGGGCTGGGGGTAGGTGAAGAGGTGAGGGACACTCTTCACAGAAGATTGTCAGTATAAGCTGTGAAAAGGGAGTGTAATTGAGGAGATAAGGAGCCTCCCATCCTTAGCTTTGACTGCAGACAGTGGCCAAGAGACAGATCTTTACTTCTTCTAACCCAAGTCAAAAGCTCTGACCTTGAGAAGAGCAAGTGAGGAAGATGTGAAACAGGAAGACCAATTTAGTGCTTGTGGTCTGCAAGGTGCCTCTTACTGCGTGCGTGCAACCCTTTGGCAAGTTGGTGAGTTAACCAGAGCCCTACCACTCCCACCCTGTCCTGTAGATGAGCAAGATTTGTAGGGTTTAGGAAATGTGTTCAAGGTCACATGGCCAAACTGAGATGCTCCCTAGTCACCACACGTGTCTGTCCTATCTTGTGTGCAGTGGGTCTAGTAAAGTCAACTTACTCCTGGGGGTTTTTACAGTGGTTGAGCCATTCTTTAGAGTTCGCACTCAAGTTCAGAATTTAAGAAATCCTTTGTTCAAGCTTTTCCTTCATTCTTAAATTTACCAGAGACTCTTGCTTAGCAGAAACAAAACAAACAAACAAACTGAGTTTTGTGCTTGAAGAATCTCCTTGAGAGTTACCCACTTACTGAAAACAAAAACCAAACCAAACAAACAATAATTAAATTTAACACACAAAGCCCCCTCTCCACCTTGCATGAAAACACTAAGTTCTCAAAAACAACTCAGCTGCTGGGGGTGGTGCTACACACACAGATGTCTAAACATTTGGGAGGTGGAGGCAAGATGATCAATGACATTCTCAGTTACATAGTAAATCTGAAGCCAGCCTCACGTGATTTGTCTGAGACCCTGTTCTCAAGTGACCCCAAAAAGGAGCTATTGAGAAATCCTCAGGATCCACATAGGAAAGCCAGGTGTAGCACCACAGGCCTGTTAACCCAGCCCTGCGGTAGGTGGAGACAGGAGGATCTCTGGGATTGGCTGGCTACAGCCTTTGCTTCCAGTTCCTCAAGACTATCTCATTTGGATGAGCAGAGACTGTAAATCCTTCTCTGGCCTTCGTCACACCACCCCCACACCCCAAAACAAACAAACAAACAGCCATCCCTTTTCATTAAATTTAAAACTGCCTTTGTTCAGTTTGCTCAGAAATGGACAGCCCCCCCCACCCCGAGTCTAGCTCCTCCCCTTCGAGGAATCATGTGACGAAGCCACCCGTTCCATAAAACAAACCATGAAAACGTTCAATTGCCTTTCCATTCTCTTCATCACATCTTTTTTTTCCTTTCCCCCCAATTTGGACTGTGAAGGTGTCAAGGAGCAGCAATGTATGAGTTACCAGGATCTATGACAACTGAAGGTCAATAGGTTCAGGCAGTCAGAGATGAGAAAAGACTAGTAGAGGGAGCATGTTAGCAGGGGATAGAGGAAGAAAACAGTAACAACCACACACACGGATCTCTGCAAGATGTGAAAGTCCTATTTTACCAAACTCAAAAGGGCAGAAGCATCTTTTCTAGAAAACCATAGTGTATCACTATCCTGGGCATTGACTGTCCGCTATGGCTGCTGTTCCTTCCCCACGAATAGGGCACACACTTCTTTTCTCATGCAAATAGTGGCAGGATAGATACCCTTCAGAGTTTCTCCTCAGTCAGCTTACCACACAGTTCCCACGTCCAAAGCAAACCAAACAGCATGGGCTCATCTTTTCAGAAAACTTTCCACTCTTAATTTGCAAATTTTCAAGTCAACGCTTTAGCTCCTAGCTCCGAAAATAAGCTGATCCATCTTTATCTTGTTTTACTGACATCCACAGACAGCCACTCCTAGAAGTAAAACTATGGCAAAGCAGTGAAGGCCCCTGGGAAAAGTGTAAACACCTTGAAAGGGAAAGCATATAACCAGAGGACACCGGAATGACCAGCAACGTGCTTTTCTGGAGGTGACGACCACGGCCTCCTGAGCTGGCGAGTGGAATGTCTTACACTTGATCCCACCCTGTCATTAGGATGCTTGAGATGCCAGACAAATCGTTTGGCAGTCATTTACTTTGGGCTCTTTAATCACCAAGTCAGATGAACCTGAGGCTATGACTGATAGAAACGGCTCATCTGATCTGTCCTATAGCTGCAACCCGGAGACACAGTGACACTGACCACCGTGTAGCAATGGCCATGACAGAGAGGGCAGCAGCAGACTGTGGATGACCATCAAGACAGAAGACTTGGGATGACTGGCTTGTTTTGACACCTTAATCCATGGTATAAGCAAGCCCAATAAATGTGGGCTCTTCTCCGCGACTCCACTGCAGAGTTGGTGAGAAGCCAGACTTGCTCTGACAGACAGACGAAGTCAAGAATGGAAAGGCCGACTCTGAACTTGGGTGAGACAGGTTTTTTTTTTTTTTTAAATCACCTTAGTGATATGATAAAAATTAATCACAATAAAAATATCCTTTTTCAAAAGCCCAATAACGAGAACGGATTGCAATTTACTCTTATTGTCCCTGACCACAGATCAAATAAAGAGACTCTTTCTAACTGTATTATGACCTCCTCAAAGAAATGAAGAGGTCTTTTGTCAAGATTAATTTTGCTTAGGAACCCTTCAAGGGGTGTTAGGTGGAACAGAGGCCCTTGAAGCATCTCCTTCTTCACTTGTTGGACTTCTCCAAGGGTCCGTGAGGCAGGAAGAAATGAAAGGGCTCTCTATAATCGTAGCCAGTGGGAGGGCACAGGGTGAGTCAATGTCCCTTTCCCGTTTAACTCCTTCCTGCTCATACACACTCTATCACTTTTACCAAGCCAGCAAACTAAGGCTCAAAAAAAAATGTGTCCACCCTCTTTAAGCAGGGCTCAATCAAGCCCAGTTCCTCACTTGTTCATTTACATTTCAGAAGGGGCATCAAGCCGGCTGGGATCTAAGGGCCTGTTAGCAAAATGTGCCTGGCCTTCTGCTGATTAGAGCAGCATCGTTTGTTTTCTCAGTATTAGAAATGTCTTAGCCTTGCCACCTGGAGCTGCAGCACTGACTCATTAGATCCCTCTGTCCCAGCACATCCCACGGGGGCTGCTAATTACTGGCTTTACTCCATTCAGTCTCATCTCTGATTTAATTACGTGCGCTAAGCCCTAATGAAAAGTACAGTATGGCTGTTCTTACCTTGGCATTCGCCATTCTGCTCCTCATGCCCAGCATTGCACAAGCAGTTGCCAATGGGTACCAGCCATTCGCCATCTGCCCCGCAGTACATTTTTGGCACATCCTTCTCTTCAGAGTTGTTGACACAGGAGCCTCGAACTTCCACCAGGGAGGAGGTATCAGCCCCCGTGATGGTATCAGGAAACTGCGCTAGGTTTCGAACAGTGAGTGGACACTTCTTGTAGAACACACGGACGGAGACCAGGGCAATGCAAGCCCCCACATCCTGAAAGGCCAGGTAAAAGCCCTTCTTGCTCAGTGGCCCTACATCCCGGATCTCAGTGTTGAGCTTCATGATTCGGTCACCAATGTCCACCTGCGTGAAGCTCTCATCAGCCGCGATGGTATCAATCTTGCCAAACTGGCTCTCTCTGATGAAGCGTTCCTTGTCGTTGTCTGACTCGTAGTAGTACAGGTTAAATGTCTCCTTGCAAGTCCCCATGACGCCCGGAAGACTGTTGCAGTCCCTCAGCGTGAACTTAATCTCAATGTACACCCTCTGCGCCCCTTCTCGGGTGATCCAATCAGTTCGCAGCCAGTTATTCTGGCTGGCTTCCATCACATTGCACACCTGGTAGGTTCGGATCGGTGTATTTTTCTCATCCATAATGCTCACTTCCTCCCACTGCAAAGATCCAAAGAGAATGTATCAATGAGAAAGTTTCATCAGACAACGATTCATCAAGTCCATTTCACAGCTATCCTTCCAATCATGGAGAAAATTACTATGTAACCGTGCCCCCAGAAAAAAGTATCTTATGGGCTATTATGGGCTCTCTTGCCATTTCCTTGAGAAAAATCCCTCCACCTTGCTGCAACCTCCCCCTATTCCCCCACACTGTTTTCCCTTTCCACCTAAAATCAAAGGCAAGAGTAGACACAGTGCTTGCGTGTTCTCAGCAGTTCTTGTGGTGGTCCAGCAACCTCAAAGTCACCTATTACAAGAGCTACAAGTTCAGGTGGCAACGGCTCACACATTTACTCATGAATGAAACAAACCTGTATGTGTATTTGTTTCAACCACCAAACAGAAACCTGAAAATTAAGGGCAGGAAGTGTTGAGCTTGCCAAAGGAAGACAAGAGTAATTAGCCACGTTCCTGTCAGAACTTTGCTTTTTAATACTTTTTTTTGAAATTATTCTCTCTCTCTCTCTCTCTCTCTCTCTCTCTCTCTCTCTCTCTCTCATCATGCCTAGTATTTAAAGGAAAAAAGGAATATCCCACCTTGTTTCAGCAGCCTTAGGAGACAGTACATTTCCTGGCTGACTCTCAGAGACACACTATCACAGGAATAGAAAACTATTGAGAGCCCGCATTGAGTTACAGTGTATGCGCACGTCCTTATTTTTAAAACAGAGACACACAAGTAAACAAGAGTGAATGAATGAGTGCTTCGCTTCCGGTTAGTCACAGTCAGGGAAAATTAAAATAGTAAGTGATATTTATGACTGAAGGCCCAAGCAAGAAAAATCCAAAGGGGGGCCGGGCTGTTTGCTTTGCCCTCTACTTCCTAACACATGGATCTGAATGGTGGCCACTCGCCGCCATCCTGAGAGATTCATTTTGAGTAGAGTGATAACCTCACCCCCCTGGGGTTTTTAAAGCTAATCCTAAAATGGGAAAGGCATTTTGGGTCACACCTGACCCCTGGCTCCTTCTCAACTGCTAGACAGCCTCCAATCCTTCATTAACATTTCAAATAATGCAGGGTTGATATAGATCTGGCATAGATCAGCTTAAGTATCTAACAGGAATATAGTTAGAAGGAAAAAGAGTTTTGAAACTTTGTATTCCACAATAGCACATTCACTCAGTCTGAGGAGATCCACAGAATCTTAATCGTTCTTTCAACAGGTTCCCATCCTTGCACTGAAAATTATTAGTGGATGGAAATGCTGCTTTATGAAGGGCCATAATACACAAAATTATGTATCTGATTCCTCTATGCCTGCTGTAAAAGCTGGAACTGAAGAGGTAAGTACCCTGTGGTGATTAATTTTTAATATATAGGCAAGCATTTACTTATTTGGGGGAAATTCATGTAAACCTAAAAATTAGATTCTCCACCAAAAACACCTACTCAGTAAGTCCCTCATCTCAGAACAAAGATAAACAAGAAAAGCCTGTTTATTAATATAAATGAAAGCAATGGTCTCTTTAGAGCCCCCTGAGGGTAATTCAGGTCAGGGGACCGTCTATCCTGAACTGTGGTGAAGACACTGATTCTTGCCCCATAGCAGACCTGAATCCTCCCTTAGTTGCCTGTTTCGTAATCACCAGCATTAGCATCTCAGCACACCTCTTGAAATGGGCTCAGTCAGAAAGAAAGGAGTGCCCTGTTGTAGGCTGCCAGTCACAGCCAGCCTTCACCTGTCTCCACCATTCCCCTGTTCCTCCTCTGGGACAGGGAGGCTTCTCTGACTCCATCCATGTTACTTGGAGGGGTGGTGGTGGTATTGGCAAGTCAGGTTTCTTTTATTTTTAAAATAATATGTTGCAAGTAAGTGCCATTATTAGACAACATTTCTGTTTCCAACAGAGATGGGGAAGCACTCTATCGGCAAGGAGAGAGTCCTGAACAAGCAAGGAGACTCCATGTTTCCACCCTCAGCTTGAAACGACTTTCCCAAGACAACCATTAATGGATCCCCAGACTTTCCTTTCATTCTAAACCTCAAAACTATTTCAATTGGACTTAAAATTTTGAGAGTTTTCTTGACCGCAGCTATGTTTTTGGATGATTTGTAAGTTAAGTTTTTAGTTAGTGTATAAAATAAAGGGTTTTATTCTGACATGTATGTACATATGTACCACTATCCCTTGCTCCTTTTCAACTTCTGCTGCCCCTCTTTTTGCTCATTGATGACCTTCCTGCCCAATATGCTTTCACGTCACAGACATATACACATGTTTACAGTCAGCTAAACCTATATTCTGCATATAGAATATGCATATAGAAAGAAAACCGAGACATTTTCCCTCCCTTGTTCCTACAGAAAGGCTAATTTTGATGTACGTTCACAAAATTTCATGTCTGACCTCTTATGATAACAGCTGAAATGTTATTCAGAGCGTAATAATGGAGAAAAAGCTACCTACTAGAGTCCATAGAAAGTTCTGGGCCGTACACAGTAAGTTATGCATTTTTTAAAAAAACAGACTTCAAAGCATCTAAAAGAAGTCAGAGTCTAAAATACGTGATCAAGGACTCTTTCAGAAACCCTACAGAGGACAGGGATAAAAAAGACGTCTGCATACTAAATCGCAATGGAAGTTTCCTAGAGAGCAAACGGAGCATAGACTAGACTCCTTGGTTTTACATAGGCCAAGTATATATTTAGTGAAACAAGTTAGATTCCAAAAGACCTTAGCTGTGTTCTCTCTTCGTGCTTGGGGCAGGGAGAAAGAGAAAAGAGGCTTCTTACACATTTTAGCAAACACAGACCCTTTGTCCTTGGTTTTGTTGGCCAGCAGTTGTCATACACACTCTAACCCAGGTTGTGAAACTCCCAGGAAAACTTCCCCTGACCAATGACCAGCCCAGAGTCTAGGATTGACACTGAGTCTGACTCCCAGCAAGATAAAGCTGTACCTTTCTTCCCATTCAAAGGATGAGGGCCGTTGCCTGCAATCAGCACTGACTACAGCCTGTCTGCCCTACCCAGAAGCCTGCCAATCACTTTCTCTCCTAGATTTTTTTTCATGGTTTGGGAGACAAAATGGAATTTTCCATCAGAGACCAAGTCTACAGCAGACAGTCAAATTCAGAAAGAAAAACGGGAAAGCAAGGTTGACTCCATTTTATTTATAGGCCCTGCTTTGATTCTGCTTTCCCTTTTAACGACTATTTAATTGCCCATTCTGAAGTTTGGAAATACATATTATATGATCGTATCTATGAATCCTTTTGGTTCTTTGTCAGTTCTTTATTTAACTCTCGGGTGCTGGCTGGGATCACAACGTTTGCTTTGCAAGACTTCTAATCTTTGCTTCTCGTTGTTTTTGATCAATTGACTCAGTCATAAACTATCATGCATGTAAGGCTCGGATGTAAAGTTATTTCAATTCGGCCCCAGTCAGACTTGTTCCCATAACGGATTCATTTGCTACTCAGGGGGGATGGAAGGATGTGGCTGCTGAAGGGAGTAAATCTTATCCTGGAGATGGTCATGGGGAGTTCTGCACCCTTCCTAGCTGAAAGGAGGCATGCACTCTTGTATTTTATAATCAAGCATCCCTGGTTTGCAGTGAGCCAGATTCCAAATGCTTAAGCTTTTTCGATTTAATGCCCAAAGCCTGGAAGGTCTCTTGATTTACAAGGCCTCTGGCTCAAGCTTCCTCAACCAGCAGCGGACTTAAGGTTATGACCATAAGGTAAGGAAACCAGCCTCCCCACTGCTTGGGTGGGTTGAATTGGAGATGTTTTCTTTCTGCTGTCTTTCTTACTCTCCCTCTTCATCTGGAAGCGGAACAATTGCTCTAAAATTAACCCCGCCAGGACTCCATGACCACCAGAGTAATAGGCATAAATTCTAATTTGGTCCCCAGATCGTATTTCTTGTCGGTATTTCAGTTTTAAATAGGCATCTAAGTCTATACCTCCACCAATCTCCTAATTTTGAAGCCCCTTTCTGCCCTTTTGGTTTCTAGCTCTTCCATGACAGAGCTATCCGAAGGGAGTATTGGATTTCTCCAACAAAGCGTAATTCACTTCATAGGCCACAGCGGAAATCTGACCCCCTCACCACAATCACCCAGAATCAAGCCATTAGCCTCTCAGAAAGTGGCTAATCACTCCTTTCCCCCTTCTTGACCAGAGAGGGCCTCAGAACTTACCCCTCCTTCCAGAGGGCTGGCTATCCACCCAAGCTCTCCCTGAACAGATCTGGAATCCAATAAGGTAACTGCAAGAAAAAAAAAGCATAAAAAACACAAAGGAAAATAGATTAATTTCCAATTGCAAAAAAGCCAATAATACAAAAACCATTTGCCTGAGCGTTTCCATATGTGTTGAGGGTGCACATATCCAAGCTGATCAAAACTCAAACTCGGTCTCACTTATGTAAATAATCACTCCTCAGTGGTCTTCTCCTCTCTTCAAACCTGCAGGTTCTTATTTATTTAACTTGCTTAGCATTTAAAATTCCATCCCAGGACCCGATTGATTCATTTTTTTTTCTAGAAAGGATGAATAGGGCATCTCAAGCACAATTCAAACAAAATAAATATATCAATGTAGGACAGCAACACCAGAGAGCAGATCTGCATTCATCTTTGTCTGCTATCTACTAGATGTATTTGTTTTTGCAAGCCTCAGATGACCACATAACTCACCAGCAGTGGTGACAGACCCCCAAGTGAATGCTATCAGAGGACCCAAAGGGTCATGGAAAAGGCTCTCCTCCCCACTCTCCCCCAATCACCCCCCATCAACTAAATAGGCCCTAGATATAGCATCCGCTGCTTTTTTAAATATCAAAGTTCCAGAAAGAGAGAATGCTGGACGGGTGGGGTTAAAATGCAAATGTGTGGAAGTGTCCTCTTTTTCCTAGGTCCTTTGGAGGACAATCGAGATGAGCCCTCCAGCCCCAGGAAATGGCTGGTTTGAATTTTAGGTATGGAGTGCTGCCTAATGGATTTAGTATGCTCGCGCTACACCTAACAGCGGGCCTCCAAGCTAGGGGGAAGGGAGAAGACGGAGAAGACGCCTCCAGAGCTGTGATACCCTCATCGGGGGCAAGATAAGGCTCTGGGTGCCGACGACATTGAAAAAGAGGCAATGAATTCAAGACCTATCCACGTTGCCTTTCCCACCAAGATCTTCAGGCCTGGGGTCGAAAGGCCCGTCTAAAAGGGACCCTTGGGTAATTAATTTGATCAGGGAGGCTGGCTCTTCAGACTGGGGGAGGGGTGGGAATGAGAGGCCTCTGTCCTTGCGGCCCAGTACCCCAACTCTCAGTCTAACCCCTAAAACGTGGAATTCTGCCCACTTCCTCCCATTTTACCCCTCAAATCTAGGAAGTTCGAACCAGCTCCTTGGCCCTAGCTCCCCGAAAGGTTCTGTATTCCTAGGGTCTATTAATTATTTTAACATGTAGAGCCTTCCCCGGGTCGCTCCGGGCTGGAGTTGTGCTCCCTCCTCTCTTCCCGATCCCTAGAGAAAAGGCCGCTACATCCACTTGGATTTATGTAAGGTGGATTAGGGACACAAAGGGAACAATAAGACCCAATTTACAAAAAAGGGAGGGAGTAGAAAGGGAGGGTAAAAGGGAGAAAAGGAAACGTGACAGGAATAAAAAGCAACAAAATGAATTAATTTTTAAGGGAAGGAGGGGCAAGGGGGTGCAGCTCTCCTCCACTTCTTTCAACATAGCCTACGGTTCCATCTAGCACCTTTTTGTCTAGGGTGCCCAGTCTTGCTTCCCAAAAGAAAAAAAAAGGGGAGGGGGGAGAATAAAGGTAAGGTGAACCCTAACCCTAACTATCCCCACGTCTGAGGCGAGAGAGGTCTCAGGAGGCACTTAACAAGTGTGTGAAGTAAGTGGCCAAAAGAACACGAGGAATGCGGTTCCGCTCAGATGAAAAGCCCCAGGGACTGAGCGAAGGCCGCTGCTGAGTTGCTAATGCGAAGCCACAAACCAAGGAGTGAGGGGGGGATGGAGACGGGAGAGATGACCCTCCTACCCCCACCGCCCCCACCTCCGTCCCAGCAGTGTCTGTGGGCAGGTGTATGACAGTCTCCAAGCCTCCACCAGGAGAGCTCCCGGGTACCCTCTGACTAGTAGCCAAGCCTAAGTTGGTTTTTGGCTCCCTCCTTCGGAACAGAAAAAATGATAGTGGATTGCACAGGAATAGAAAGATGGACAGATGCCTGGGGAGACGGAGGATGGATAGATGGATGGAAAGATGATAGATGGAGGGATGTTTGTAGCGAGTTGGAAGAATCGATGAGGCAGACGTACAGCTCAAGTACACAGGTTTGGGCACGGACATAGGCCGGAGACCACGTTCACACACTGTGTGCACCCGCGGTACCCGGCACAAATCGTCCAGATCTATGCAGGCATCCGCGCCAGGTACACATTTGCACACACACACACACACACACACACACAAACACACGAGAGAGACAGACAGACAGACAGACAGACAGAGAGACAGACAGAGAGACAGAGAAGGGAGCCCTCTCCTCCCTCTGTGCCCATCAGAAACTAATGGTCACTACCTCTCTCTCACCTCGGACAGAAAAAGAGACTAACAATCCCCTCCAGCACGCCCCAATAGACAAACAGAAAACAACAACCAAAAGGGTCCCGTCCGTCATGCACGTCCTTCCTAGACTAGTCCAGTGCCCCATTCCAGAGAGAGAAGCTTAAAGTGGGCCGTATTTAACTCGCTGGCTGGTACCCTAGATTTACAGGATGATCTAAGGATCTGGGGTAGGGGAGAGGTAGGCCGGAGATTGCAACATCCAGGGTGAGCGGCCCGATGGAGAAAAAGGTGTCTGAGGCCCAGGGCTGGAAATCAGGTCACCGGCGCCCGACAAGCGGCGCCACCACCGCTGCGCTGCGGAGACCGGGCAGCCGGGTCCCGGGAAGCGCAGCGCTGGGAAAACTTTACAGAAACCCGGGCTCGCAAGGCTTGGACAAGAGACCGGGCGCGCTAAGCCTTCACTGCACTCCGCGGCTGCGTTTTCCCTCTAGCCTGGGCTGCTGAAGGGGAGGACTCGGTGCACACGGTTTTTTTTTTTTTTTGTCTTGTTTTTTTTTTTTTGTTTTGTTTTGTTTTCAAATCCTGGTGTTAGCCCTGTGTATCCCCTCCGGGCGCCTGGAGCCGGCCCTGCAGGCGAATGCAGATAAACTTTGGCCTTTCGCTACAAACTTGGGTAGAGCGGCAGCTTACATCGGTCGTCCACTCAATTCAGGCTGCCTGACCGTCCTCTGTTTCCCCTTCGAGATCCCCCTCTGTCCGACACCTTTCTCCGGAGTGGGGATGCAAGCCTCACGCCGCGCTCCCCCCCCCCCCCCCCATGCTAACTGGCTCAGAGCTCGCGAAGACCATTCATCAGCTAATCACCCACTCCGGGTGCCCGACCTCACAAGGGCTGCCTGGCTCTTACCTTCATTCGCGGGGTATACCCTAGAACCGGTGACAGCGTCGCAAATCCCAAAGAGAAACGAAAAGAGGACGAAATAGAAAATCCCAGCCATGGTTCGCCAGTGCCAACGCTGCTCCTGCCGCTTCTATCCCAGTGGAATAAATGCTTAAGTTAGGAGTGCAGCAGTCTGAAGACATTGCCAAGAGGGTGGGCCCGGGCTGTGACGTAGGCCCGCCAGTCCGGAGCTCGCGACCAATGGTAGTGCAAAGAAGACGCCTCGGCCCCGCCCCCACAGCTCAGAGCCCGCCCCGGGTCCCGCCCCCTCCAGCCTCCGCAGGGCGCAAGGTCTCCGGAGGCTGGAACCGCAGCCGCGGAGGGTCTCTGCCCTGGCGGGAGTCCGCGGGCCTTGTCTTCCGACGCCTCGGGGCTCGATCCCCTGGACGACAGAGGGAACTTCGAGAGACTGAGCGGACGGTGGGGAAGGCCAGAAAATGTTGGTAGCCTTCCCCCACTAGTTAGGCGGTGTGAGGGCTTGAAAAGCCTCCCGTTGAGATGAAATAAGTCTGAAGTTGACCTGCACCTTGGCTCTTGCCCCTTGCTGAGGTCGTCGGGTCGCTGTCCCGACCGCCCCAGCCCAGTTCGGGCTCTCTCTGTCGCACGCCGCCACAGCTACCCTCTGCCTCAATCCCTGGTTGTGTGTCTTTACCGCGCTCCTCCCTGGGAAACGCTTTGGGGTAGGGGGTCTTTCGTAGCCCGTTACTCGTTCCCTTCTTAGTTACCCAGCCAAAGGGACCTAGTCGTCTCCAGTGTTTCTTCAGCAGCAAGGCGCAGCCACTGTCCCCAGTCTTTCTGTCGTCGGAAAGTGCCTCCTGTCCGGATTCGGGTGTTCACATAGACCGAGCCCAGAACCGGACTATGCAGACTAAAATCACCCCGCGACGGCCCAGGAACCCACTGTGCAGTTTCCAGGGAGAGTCCCTGGGACCAGGTCTAGCCATTCTGGGACACCTAGGTGTAGACGGGAAGGGTGTAAGAGTGCGGACACCTGCTGCACAGACGGGTAGACTGAGGAGGGTCGCAAGCTGCCTGAGCAGTCACCGCAGCTGAGCTCCGACGTCTCCCGGTGCAATGGGGACAGTCTCCCAGGAGACTAAGGTGAGAGGAACTTCACGCAGAAACTTGCCCCACAACCCCGGGTTGTCCTGGGTGCCAACCGTCGACCTTTCAGGGACGCAGGCACCCTCCGACCGCGGTCGTTCCTCAGATGCTCAGTCCACGGGAGAAGCCACTTGAGCGCCAACCGGAGACAGCAGCTCAGAGAGCTACCTGGTGACGAGCAACTGGGTGGCTGGTCCCCAGGCGTTTTGAGGGTTGGGATTCCAAAAGGCGCGCCTCCCTTGCTCCCCTCAAGCCGCCCCTCCTTTGGCTCCCTTCCCGGCCGGGTTTTCCTCCTGCAAGTCTGGGTCTCAGCCGAAAAGCGAAAAGCGATGTCAGGAGGTGGAGGAACCTTGCAAACCGTGGGACAGAAGCTCTACGTGAACCAATCGCGCCACCTGCCGGCCAGATGCAGGAGCGCGCGGGCCCTGAGCAAGGCAGAAAGGACAAAGACGCAGAGGCGGCCAGACAGCTGGTCCAAACCCGGCTAGTAATTTATTTATCCACCTGCCCAGATCCTGCCATACTACGGTGTGGGAAGTCCTGTCGCGTCTCCCTCCGCCTAGACCACGAAAGATGGACTCGAAAGACGTTTCGTGGAGAAATTTCGCACTCGACATTCGACGGATTGCATGAGTAGCTTGTCCCTCAAATGGGAGTCTGAAGTAAAAATCCTAAGGGCATGGCAAGGTGTGGAGCCAAGAGCAAATCGAGCGTGGCTTCAGGCACTTTCTGGTTATTGTCGTGGAGAACCGATCGTGTTTCCCTTCCAGGGCTCAAGACCTGTGCTTGCAAACTCAGACCCGGGTAATTACAACTTTTGTTTTACCGAAGGCGAGAGCGCTTGGAAAGGCCATGGGCAGTAGCTGAGTTGGTGGCCCAGAGGGACAGGGCATAAGGCTCCTGGCATTTGGCATCTGCAGCGAAAAACCTATTGGAATTTCACCCACAGGGGAAGTAGCTTTCTGTTGTTGTAACTACTGATTTCACATCAGTGAAGCGGGGGCGGGGAAACTATGCACACGGGAATATATGTGTGTGTATGAATTATTAAAAACAACCGCGCTAAATCCCCCTAAGAAAATCTCGATTCTTTTATGTGTCTTTCTGCGTCTTACAGAAAAATAAATAAATAAATAAAAATAAAGATATAGGTTCTTGCCATTTGGCAGACAGATTCAAACGGGAAAAGAGCAACTCAAATTCTTAGAAAACATTTTTAAACAATAGATGTCGGTTGTGTCTCGGCAGGAGAGCGAGTACTGTATATTATCTATAGTCGAAATAGACAACTACCTGCCTGTCTGGTTGAAAGCAGTAACATTTCCAGAACATGCACCCCACCCTATGTGTTCACTGCATATTAACGGTCTTTTCCCTCTGCAGAAGCCTGAAAAAGCAAGCCAGCTTAAGTGAGGACACAGTTCTTTCCCCTGCTTCCCCCCCTTTTTTTCAGGCATCCACAGCAACCCAGCTGCTAGGAGAACCAAGAAACTACAGCTAACTGGGGAAAAAAGCCTGGTGAAACTGCTGGACTGCCCTCATTCTTAGTGACCACCGAAAGGACTGCTCTCTTGTCTATTGGGACAACATAACCTGACAAATACGATTCTGTCTTAAAATGGTGCAGAAACGAAAGCTTAGTATTGGCCCTGCTGACCACCAATTCAGAACTGTCCAGTGTATACTCTAACACCCTGTGGTTTTAAGTGCGCCTATTTATAGCAAGCCAGGAGAGTCACATAAACACAGGAAATGCTGCAATCCAAATCACCTGCCTCTCACATAAAATACCTCACGGGGTATGACATACACCTTTAGTCCCAGCACACCAGAGGCAGAGACAAGCAGATCTCTTGTGAGCTCCAGGGTAGCCTGGTCTACATAGTGAATTCTACCCAGGACTATGCAGTAAGACCATGTCTCAATACATACATACATAAAATAAATATAAAATTAAATAACTGGATTTATTTAAGGGAAAAGACCCTGCTCATAAGAATTCAGATATAGTTTGGGAATGCTAAGATACATGTCAAAATATATGTGCTAATAAGCATACTGAAAAGGACAATTTAGGTAAACTTTTGTACTTTTGGTATGTTGCCTACCACTAAGACTCGAGCTACAAATTAAACTGCAAAGGCTGAGTTGAATTAAGGTTTTAAAAATATTTTGTTTTTTAACATTAAAATGTGTGTATGTGTGTGTGTGTGTGTGGTGTACCATCTATTTGAAGGTATCTGCAGAGTTCAGAAAGGGCTTCAGATGCCCTGATGTTGGAATTACAGGTGGCTGTAAGCCACTTGACATGTGAGGGCCTGGGAGTTGGGGGAGGCTGGGCACCAAACTCTGGTTCTCTGGAAGTGTAGGTGTTTTTAACCCATGAGGCGCCTGTTCTGCCTCCCCAACAGTCTGTGTATGGATAAAATAATAACTGTAGAAATGATTACAGTGAAAAATCATTAAGAACTTGAAAGTCCCACAAGGACCTAAGCCCTCAGATTTTCCTTCCGTGCTACGTGAGAACAAGGGTTCTGAGTTGACGAATTCCTGGAATGGGAAAGGGTGGAAAATGATTTTGAATCTCTTCCCTTCTCTCACTGTTGACTCAGGACAGCTGACCTTGTCTCTCAGATTCCTGGTGATTCACCAGGATTTGAATCTCCAAACACAATAGCCTCGAAAACAACCAAGTAAAACAAGAAGAAAGGGTGTTTAAAGGTCACTGATAGCTCTCACCTTCCCCAGGAAAACGTTTGAGCTTCCAAGTACCACGGTTGGTAGGCTTCCTGGGACCCCCCAAGAAGCCCAGTTAGAGATTTCATTCTTTGAAGTCCAGGCTGTGGCACAGTGTCACATGCAAATGACAAATAGGGCTCTTTTCAACCCGTTACACCTGAACCGGAAAGAAGGCAGTCGAGCCCAGATTTGGGTGGATCAGGAAGGGGAAAGAGTAGCCACAGAAAGAGGTCTTTGGGAGCACCAAATAGGCCAGGGCTGGCTAGAGGATTCCAGAGGCTAAGTGTTTGGATTCTCCCCACTTCCTTCCAACCAAGTTTTCTCTTGTGCTGGCCAGTCTAAGGTATACTCTTAGACGGAGGGGTTTTCAGGTGTGCTCCTGTTTATAGGAAGCCAGGGGAGTCCCATAGACACAGGCAAGTGCTCCAGTTGCAACTACCACCCAGGTCGCTTGCCTCAAAAATAGAACACCTCACAGGATGTGGTGCACACTTCTAATCCCAGCACTCCACAGGTAGAGACCAGCAGATCTCTCTCGAGTTCCGAGGTAGCAGTTCCAGGGTACCAAACACCTTGTATGGAAGGTGTCACAGGTTCCTTCTATGGCTTGTGAGGCCATGTCACCTTTCATGTGGCCACAAGTCACTCCTCCTGCCGCCCCAAAGGATGGTGAAGAGAACAAGGGCACAGACAGGAACCCTCTGGACAACCCTGCCTCAGATCTAGAGAGCCTTTCACCTAAGTTTCAGACACCAGGAGTGGGTGAGGTAGAGGTGTAGGGGAGGTGGAGCTGGGGGGCAGGGCAGAATTCAGATCAGACACTTTGTATCCATCTTGGACTGCTCCGTGAATTCCAGCTTAACATAAGAGTTACTTTATTTTTTTTAACATGCCCTACTGGAGTGTAAAAGAATCTTTACTCTGCATCTTTCCATACAATATCTATGATACATGTTCCCTCATTTTCATGCGAATTGTGAAAGCCAACCTGCGTGGCACAGTTATTGAAAGTCTTTTTGAACATATTTATGTGTGTATTTTATGCATATGAGCGCTCTATTTACATGAATTCCTGCATCATGGAAGAGGGCATCATACAGTAGAAGGGATCAGATCCTGTTATAGAGTGCTGTGAGCCACCATGGGGTTGTTGGGAATTGAACTCAGGACCTCTGGATAAGCAGCTGACGCCCTTAACCGCTGGGCCATCTCTCCAGCTCCCCCATTTTAATACTATAATTGCCGAGGCAGGATTACTAATTGGAGATTGTCATTATTTTTTGATAATAAACTAGCAGTCGTTATGTGTGAGGAAATGGAGTTTTGCAATTTA